AGTCCAGCCCGCCTGCTCCTGATCTGTTCACTCAGCTGGATTGTTACTGGTTTTCTGGATCTTACCATGGTTAGATACTTCTTACTGTGCAGGCTTCCTCCTGATGTTCTATTTTTTATTGGTCCCAGCCTGCAAGTCTGCCTCCAAGTCCTGGAAAAATCAGTTTGACTTATTGATGCTGGTGGTATTCTTCTGCTGGCTTCTCTGATTAACACTTTCTTTTTTAAACTGAACTTGGGGTAGTGTTTCGTACCGGATCTTTGTCTAGGTTCTCTCACCTGCTTCCCAGAATTGATGCTTTTGCTTCCGGGCTGGTAAATTTTTTTTTTTTTTTTTTTTAAGCCTTTGGAAGGGGTATTGCTGTGATGGTGCCATCCAGCACAAGAAAAATGTGATGTGCTGGATCACATCAGCAGTTGTGATCACTGTTACTTTGCTGGCCACTGATGCCAAATACAGGACTAAGCCGAACAGAGCCTTCAGACACTGAAGTTTACCAGTTAGGGCTTCATTTTGCTGGGAGTTGATGATGCAAATGTAGATCATTTGCAGTCTGATGTGTCGCAGCAGCAGGATGTTGCAGCTACTGCGTTAGTTTATAAGGGAAGATACAAAAGTTTTCTTGAAGTCTGCTCAGCAGACTTCCTCCTCAGTTTATCAAAGTTCACCAAAACATACTTGAACGTCAGTGATCTGTGTGACTTCATTGGGTGAGGAGAGCAAAGAGGAAGAATAGAAATTGCACTTGTTTTTCTTTTTGTGGGATCTAATTGTCTATATAACTTAATTTTGCATTTTTCTAGAATTTTCCTGCAAGCTGATGTTTCACAATCCTAGAGTCAATATAGTTCCAATTGACCTTGCTGAAGAGTTTTTTAATTATTTGTGAAGTTAGTGTTTCCTTTGTACTTTCCAGGATGACATTTACAGCTTGATGAGCTCATAACCTAAGGGATACTTTATAGCAAGCATTTTACAGAGATTTAGGTTAGTTACACTGGTACTAAAAGTGCAGGAACAGGGAGTGAAGGGCAGAAAAGCAAGAGACAACTTACATGCTGCTCCCTTTTATACGCCACCAGCAAGAAAAATCTGAATTAAGATTTTCATGAAGTAAAGAGTAGGGTGAAAAAAGAAGAGCACCAAGAACAAGTCTGAGGAGCTTAACAAAGACTGGAAGAGCAGGGGTAAAAAGTATTCGCTGAGGTGGTAGATAGTAATTGACTTGAAAGGGTAATGAGCCAATATGTCCTCCTTTCCTGTTTACAGAAACAGGTTGTAGAGTCTCCATCCTTGGAGATATTAAAAAGCTGCCTGGACATGGTCCTGGGTGACTGCCTCTAGGTGGCCCTGCTTGAGCAGCAGTGTTGGACCAGATGACCTCCAGAGGTCCCTTCCAACCTCAACCATTCTGGTATTCTCTTAGTTGAGGAGGGGATGGGGGGCCTGTGTTTCACAATTAACTGCTTAAATAATGCACCTAACAGCAGAACTTGTGCCTGTTTGACTGTGACCCATCAAAACATCTTAGTAGGGTCCCCCAGGTACTGTCCAAGCCTCTGTCCAACCACACTCTTTAGAACAACTTTACTGCATGGGAGTTGATTTTTGGAAGGGGAGAAAGAAAAGGAGATTAAGGGACGTGTGGAGCTCAAAACAGTATCGTCTCTTGAAACATGTCTCTGGGGCAGTTGGTGGTGGTTTGCAGAGAGTTCTTCCTTTGTTGGCGAAGGCCATGAAAGACAGATGGAAGTATTTTGGCCTTTTGTGAAAAAGTGTTCCTTATTCTTAGCCTGCTTCCATTTAGAGACTTCATGTGTTTTAAAAATGTTGACTATTTTCTCAGTACTACCTTGCTATGTAAGTAATTCTTGTGGCAACCACTTCTTTGTTGTGTGAACATGGGCTGTGGAGTGGGAACAGGATGGAAGCAGTAGGAGTTCGTAATCCTGTTGCCCTGTTGTTTCCGCTTTTGTACTCTGTTGTGTGTTGTTGTAAGTCCAGCACTGCATAAACATTAATTTTTTGTATTTTGGGATTAGCTGCTTTCAAATACAAAATTATTTAATCACTGAATTGTGCTTCAGATCGAGAAAGCTGTATATAGTATTGCTTTAGCCATTCAATAGCAACTTAATAACAGTGGGGAGTTTTTTGTTGGATGTTTGACAGAGTCATGTCAAGAACCCTCCTGTATCCGTAGCAGCACTGTGGACTTCTTGGTTGTGCCTGGGTATTATGGGGGTTATCACAAAAAAATTGAAGAAATCTGTTGCCTGGGATTTCTGCAATAGCTTTGGTTCTTATATTTTTAGTTTGCTAGAGAGAAAGGGTGGAAGAGCAGTGTATAAGAACAGAATTGGATGCAGATTATCTGCCTAATATGGTTCTCGTTAGCACAAATAATATGAATACCGTTTGGAGAACAAACGGATTACTGAAAAAGAAATGAAAACATCCAGATCCTGAGCATTTGGAAAGCATGACACTGATGTATTTGTGTAACCTTTTCATGAAGAGCGATGCTGAAGTCAAAGAGGGGATTTTGATTTCCTTCATTAAAAGCTTATTAAACGAAGAAATAGGACAGTCGTCGTTTTGCTTCAATAGTTGGGGGTCACAGAGGCGGGCCTGATCTCCTCAGGATATTAATGCCTGCTTTCAGCTGGGGGAAATGAGCCGTCGCTTGAGTTAGCTGCAGCTTTATGTGCTCGTCACTAGGGATCCCCATATGTCCTGGGATCTGCGGCAGTCGGAAACGGCAGAGCTCGGCAGCAGGGAGCAGAGGGCTCTCATTGCTATTCATAACAGGTAGCTCGGCTCAATCTGCCCAGAGCAAGTCTGTTTAATGTTGATCAGCTGTCCATCTGATAAACGGAATTGATATGGACATTTCCTCCAAGGGCTGCCCTGACAATGACAGCAGGAGCATCGGGATGTCTTGTTAGTCTTTTTCTCCGAGCTTGAAATTTTATTAACCCTTTGTTAGAGCCGAGCCAAGCATGATTACAATACTGCGGCTGTAGGTTGTGTGACTTTCTCCCTCGCCTCTTTGAAAAACAGCATCAACCTTCAATTTTGTTGTCTACATGGAGAATGGCTAGCTGTTTTGTTTTCAGATTGGTTTTTCTCTGCATGGAGCAAAAATCGTGAATTATAAAGGCAGCTTTTAAAACAGCTTAGATTTTTTATGTGTGACAAAATATGTTGGGAACCTCTGTTTATCCTCTCCCCCCAGCTCGTCTACCTTTTGCATGCCTGCCCAGGCTGTGTGGCTCTACTACCTCTTCTCTTTTGCTAATTGGCACAGATCATTGGCCTGAAACAGTTGCTGCTGGGGCTCTTTGCAGGTCAGATATATTTGGGGCAGAAGATTATTTTAGATTAATGTCGTCCGGGGCGAGTGCAACACATTTGCACTGTCCAGAGGAAACAGTATTCATTTACTCAGTACTATGCCAGTACTGAGGCAAAATCTAACCTGAGCATGTATCAGCAGGTATATGCGTATGTGAAGGTATGAAGCAGTTTGGTTATTCAGTGAATCAGTGCTTGGCCACTTTTGAATAAGCACAGGGAGCATAACATGCTTTTCTACTAGGTTGCAATTTAATTTGAACTTTAAGGCCATCTTTTAGCCATCTGTCTAATTGAGGGCATGCATTGCATTTTTGCTCATGTGTGAAGTCTCCATGACATAAAGGGAACTGCTTGAGTCAGAAAAGATGTGAATGTGCTGAAGATTTCCTAAGAGGGGAGCCTGCGTGTATCTAGGTTTGCAGAGTTAAGAGGGTACTCCAGTGCATTGCTCTGTTCCCCCTTCCCCTTGTTCCTGCTCAGTTATTATGTCTGTTCGTCGCCCTAGTTCTGAGCTAAGGTGACATCTCCGGGCTCCTTGGAGTGACAGTCACTATCAGGGGCTACAGGGTTGAATTGCGGGAGGAGGGGAGAAGAGGGCTGTGCTAATGACTCTTTTCATGCCTTTTCCAAAATATGAAAATAAATAGAGGGCAAGCCTCTGTGGGATAACTTCTATGGCAAGCCTCTCACAGGGATTTGAAACCCCTAAATTCAGAATGTGTTGGAATAAGAAGTGATTTGTAAACCTATCCAAAGAGGTTTACCCTTTGCTGGGTATTAGGTATGGTATTAGGTATTACTGGTATAGGATTGCCTCTTTGCTGGACAATAGCCTTTGCTTCTTCTGACTAAAACAACCAGTGAAATATCATTAGTACACAATTTTAAATTGTTCAGCTGTTTCTCCTCTCCCC